AATATGCAGTTCAAGCCTGGCATCCATGGCTGGAACACGACCTTAATGCACTGGATCAGCCACAACGCCGGGCATCCAAGAACATAATTGGAATGCGCAATCTTTCGTACCGGGTGAGGCTGCAACGATTAGGGTATTCGGTAGAAGCTATCGCAGACCACGAGGCAACCTGATTATGGCCTAGTTTATCCTGTAAGACTCACAACATGTGTGCCGCCCTTTACTGCAACTCAGCACCAATGCAACCCGGAAGGTTCACTCATTAAAATTCGCAGAACGATAAAGGCGTCTGGAGTGTCGCAGAAATTTCTCTTTCATTCGTGTCTGTCACCGGTGGTTGCTCTCCCAGAATCGGTTGTCTCTGCACCGAGACTAAGAGCATTTAAAAGACGCTCGGATGATGCACTCATCCACTTAGACTTCGTCACTTAGCGCTACTTCTCCATTCTAAACCTGGAATTTACCATGGAATTATTTGACGTCAACTTCAGGTGCTGTGAATCTAAGCTGATTGCAGGACTACGGCGGAGCAAACGATAAGTCCTTATTTTCATATTTAAAGTACTAACTGTTTTACTATCATTATTATCATTATTGTTATTTCGATATCCCCACCAACTATCCAACGGGACTTGTAAAGCAACGCTTTGTAACCCGTATAAATTCATTGTTCATTGACCAACAACAACAGCAGTACATAAGCCATTTGAACTGATGCTTCGCTGCCATACAAACATGATGACCTATGGAATAAAGAATAATAAAAGGGAGAGAAGGCGAACTTATCTGAAAATCTTAATGCCCTAAACAAACATTCAGGGCCATGGAGCCTACACCATGTGTTAACAACATACGGTCACAAACAGCTGACTATCGTGAAAGTTAAGGCGGCATCGGCGAGACAGCTTCCTTGCGGCTTTCACTGCCACGCGTCAAAATCAGCCATTACCCCGCAGATAACTCAGCACCAAACACACTTTAAACAAGCAATCCGGATAGGAGACAACAGCAGACGCGCCACTGGTGTCGGTTGCGACCCATGTCCTGTAAAGTCTCGAGCCAAGCACAAGGCGAGTCACGTGGACTCCAGCCCGCAAGGCGAGACGGACCGAGGGCACCCAGTTTGGTCGTCAGTGACTTCATTTCACGCTGCCAAATCAACTTCTGTCCACCTCGAACCTTGCGCCACCTTGCACCTGGCAGAGTAAACAGACTCTACTAGGTAAGCGGTGACCAGACATACGTAGCACGTGCCCAAGCCAACGTAACTTATTCAGTGCTCACTTTTATCCTACGCACATCATCGTTGCTAAGACGCTGGTGCCATCCTACACCAGCAATTCTTCGCAGAAAACCATGATTAAAGATTTGAAGGCGCCTCAGATCTTCAGACCGAAGGGGCCAAGTTTCACTACCATAGAGCAGAACGGCCCTCACTGTGGCCTAGTATACACGGCCTTTCAGACGGAGGGAAACTCCTATCTTTCTCAAAGATGCCGCAGGTTCAAAAAGGCAACTCTAGCTTTTTCAATGCGTGAAATGACTTCCGTATCTATGCGTCCATCATTGTTGATGCAGCTGCCAAGATAAGTGAATTGATCAACCACCTCGATTTCCTCGTTAGCAAGGGTCAATGGATCATCGAGTTGCTGGTGGGCGTGCAGCAACACTTTGCACTTTTAAGGTGTGAATTGCATACCAAATAATGAGACCACTCTAGACAGGCCATTCAGGGTTGATCGTGCCACCCCAATATCGTCGAAAAACAAGACGATATCGTCCACATAATCAATAACAACAAACCTTTCCCCAGGTAGGACCTCAACACTTTCATAGAGTCCACGACGACATTGAACGAAAACGGGGAAATCAGACAACTTTGACGAACGCCACTTGTGATCGGAAAGCTATCCGACAGGTCATCGTAAACCTTGACGCGGCCTGTAGTGTTCGAGTATAGAACACGTAGGATGTTCACATATTTCAGAGGAATACCTTTCCGCGCAATTACTTTGAACAGAATGGATCGATCGACTGAATCGAACGCAGTGTTGAAATCAAGGAACGCGTGTCACTGCTTAATCACCTGCCGCAGAATGAATATATGGTCTATGCATCCACGACTTGGGCGGAAATCTGCCTGCTATTCCCTAATTCGAAATCCCCGTTCCACGGTGAGGCGACGAACGAGAATCGAGGCTGGCGTCAGGCTAATAGCCCTGTGGTTAGAACAGTCTGTGCGACTACACTTCTTGTATGTTGCCACTGTAATCGATTCACTTCAGTTAGCCGGGACACTCTCTTCCTTCCAGGTACTTTCGAATAGGGGAGTCAGTGCGTTGCAGAGGACCTCACCTCCATCCTTAAATAGTGCTGGTGGGAAAGTATCCGGGCCAGCGCCAAGAAAACCATTGAGGGCTGTGATCGCTTTTCGGACCTCGGCTTCCGACGGAGTCTCTAAACTAAACGTCCATGGCTCGTCCTGCATCACCTGAGTAGGAAGAGGTCCGGGAGCGGGGGGCTAGCTGAACTGATCTCGAAGTGTTCCGCCCAACGAGCCATACGACGTTCCTTATTGTAACTCGTGGTACCCGCGCTGTCTCTGATTGTGTCACTGACGCCTGGTTTCCTGGGACCAGTGGTGCGGATTAGCTGGAAGGGTTTGCGGTAATTGCCTACTGCTCCTGCCTCCTCCATTTCTTGAGCCTTACTGGTCCACCAGGCTTCCTTGTCAGCACGCAGACTCTACTTTAGTTCGAACCTAAAGGCCCGTCTGGTCACCTTGTGTTCAGAGCCAGCCAGGAGGTGTTTTCTAAATTCCAACAGGTTCACCGACTTCTCAGATATCCAGAGAGTGGTGCGGTGACGATTGATAGTTCCACAAGTAGATGCTCTTGCGTCGTGCGCGGTGACCGAGATCCTATTCTACTGAAGCTCAATGTCATTAGGACAAGACAGCGAGAGTTCGGTATGCAGTGCTTCTTGATAAGCTTGCCTGACAGAGGACTGAGACAATTTCTTCGTTGCCAATCGTAGGGGACGCTTGGTGCTCCTCCCGGTAAAGTTCATGGAGAAAGGACAGCGTACTAACGCATGATAAGAGTCGATGCATGTATTCCATTCCGAGCGGTAATCCAGGATGGAACCAGGTTACCTATGACTTATGGCAATGTGATCAATTTGGGTCCATCGCTGGTCAGCTACAGGAGTACGCCAAGTGGCATTTCGGCGCCCACTGTGTCTAAAAGCAGTGCTAGTAAGAAACAACTGGTGCTCCGCACACAGTTGCAGCAGACGTTCACCGTTGTCAGTCCGCTCGGAGTTAAGCCCATAATTACCACCCAGCTGAGCTTCGGAAGAGCTCAGAAGCACTACTTGTGCGTTAATATCCCCTGTAAGTACTATAATATCTGAACTGGTAGCAGTGCGCAGTAGCGCGTTCAGTTCTTTGTAGATTGTGTCCTTGGCAGCATTAGAACTGCAGTCGGTGAGGGCATAAGCGGAAAACACAAACAAACAGCATTTTGTACTACTTCGTGTAGCAACCTTAGTTGATGACGTTAAACGGGCTGTACATGAACGGCTGTTCACCGGAATCCAATCAGCCAACGATGGCTCAGCCTTGGAGTTTAGAATAATACTTACACCAGCTTGACCCGTGAGTGATGCCTAAGCATCTCCGCATAAGTGCGACCGATAGCGATAGGACAAGTCGGGTGCAGTTAATTCAACAACCCCATTAGGGTCATTGATGCTAGTTTCGGACACATAACACATATCAACACCCAGTGTGTCCAACGTGCGCGCGAGCGCAGCCTATTGACCTATTTGTCAGAGTGCGAATGTTGAACGTCGCCATGAAAACGGGACAGGGTGGACCTATAAAGGTCTGTTGCCGATAGGTGTCCAATAGTTGTGGTGGGATGGTGGCTGCGGATGGTTCTACTCCAGTGGCACTTCGGTTGCTGTCAATTAAGCTGGGAATTATAGAAGGAAGCTTAGTAATGGGGGTCGGGATGGGAGTAAGAGAAAAAGGTGGAAAACAAAGAAGGGAGTCGCCAGCAGTAGCATGTTTTCGCTTATCCTCCCTGCTGTATGCAGCAGATAAGGCGACCGTTGAAAATCTGCGCGACGGCCGATGCATGATGAAGTTTATGTTTGAAGAAAATGTCACGGTTGTATGTGGGCTGCCAGGGCACCTAGACCTAGACAGGAGGACGATTAGGGTTCTCAACCGAAGCCTTTGGCTCAGAAGTCTGTCCGTAAGGCAGCGGTGAGGTGACAGTGATTTAGTTTTATAGAAATGGACGCCATCCCATTTCAAACCCCTAACCTGGAGGACCAGGAGACTGAATTTGTCTGACCTCTAACCATTGACCAATCTGGTAGGAGTAGCTCTCAAAGGGCCCGGAGGCACCACCCAGTTTAGCTCAATGGGTCGATGAAGTACGCAAACCGTCGCACCTCGTTAAGGTCTAGTCTCGTTACAACGGTTTAACAGGAATACAACAAAACAGATCGTAATCCTCATTTCTTGATTCATGTTTCGTTCTCTAGAATAAGACAGCAAGGGGTTGCAAACAAGATGCAGCGGATGGTGTGCTTCAAGGAGTCTTCCACCGTCCGGTGTGAATCGGACATCGTGGCCCGGTCCTCTGTGTGGTACCGCATTCACTGAGTGCTACTTGTTTCACTTCTTTCAAGCACAGGTGATGGGAACAGAATCTTAATGAACAGCTGGAGAGAATAAACAATAACAAACTGATTTAGCAACTTATCGTCTATTATACACATAGGTACTGGTTAATGAACCAAACGGTTGTCTTCTTAAGGTAAACTGTTGCGCTGCGCGATTGCACCTTCGGACCAGTAAGTAAATGTCCAAATGGAACAGCATAAACATGTCTAGAAAGTAATAGTTCCAGTCTGCTTTTTAAGAATCACATGGATGGAATCTGGTTTACGCGGTTGATTAATACGCATCATATTAGTGAACTTACTGTTATCCAAGTTGCCAGTGGTTTGTCGTATTGCTTAACAAACTCCCGTTTTATATCGCCCATATCGACTTCGGCGCGTGAAACGACAATTCGAATGAGCTTTTTGTCATTCGTTCCAGCACCTTCCATTGATTTCTTCAACTCGTGCGCAAAATACCTTGGCTTGTTTCGAATGCTTCTAACTGTAAATGAAAGATGGAATGTACTCGCTGTCCGATCGAGCAACACGAATGAGAGGAGGTTCCTATGATATTTAAACGCTGTGTGGAAGAACAGATAATGTGACAGGACATAAAGCAATTAGATGGATCAGAGTCCTTGCGAGTAACCGAAAGAATGTTACAGGGAAACCTGATTGGACTGCGTGGCAGGAGCAAGTGCTTCACTAGAAACAACACAGTGGGGCAACGATTTCTTAAGAGGTAAAAACTTCATTGTATACGTTAGTCAAGGAAGTCACAATTTTTGTTGCAACTGCTACAACAGTATTTTGTTACACGGAACACGGTTGATTCCATGGGCCCAATATAAGAAAACCATGCAACGATAGCGTATCTCTTGGCATATGTTGCGCTTGATGCATAGGGTCTCTCGGTTATAAATATTATTGGGTGATAGAATTTTGATGGTTTGTTCATCCGACTTGATGAAAGTACGACGAAAGTGCGAAGGACTCCTCGGCTGCTGATGGAACTGTGAACAATTTAAATTAGTAAACTCCATTAACAAATTAACATCTAATTATACTACCAATGGTCCAGGTGTGCCTATTACTGCGGGTAGTAGGGTGAGGGACAAGACAATAGGGTCTTAAATAATGGTGACCTTGGGACTAGGGTCTGTCTACGCGAAAGAACCGTGTGATGAGTCGAATTGGTCCACTGCCGGAAATCCGGTGGACCGTAAATCAACCCAGGATGGTTAGCACTAATGGGCATGCAAGCAGGCTGTTACGAGTGTTTGTGAGAACTATACAATCAGTTTTGGCCTACCAGGTGAACTAGCAGCAATGAGTTATGTTCCGCGATTTCGGTATATCCATCATCTTGGCCGACCTAGGAGTTTTGGGGGCGCACACCTCCTTGGTCAGGGCACCAAACACATGGGCTGAATGACATGCCACATGTGATTATATCGACGTTTAGCGGACGCAGGAAGATATCAAGCAATGATTGAAGACGATCTGTTGGTATATTCGGTGGGCGACGTTTTGCTTTTGACATGAAAGTTTCGTTGACCCAAGTGAACCAGCACATAATTGGCATGGCATTTACAACAAACTGGGAGGAGAATCGCGGTAGAGGAGGGGTACGTTGGAGGACAGTCACCGTCAGAGGTCAAAGTGTCATTTAGAGTAGTATATCAAGAATGGGAGCTTTCCAAGTGGTTCATGTTAGGAAGCCGTCGCACATCAATCCTTATCATTGATAAGTGAGGAGTTTGATGCGCGCCATGCAACTTGCATCTTTCCACCGATGCTATTCAAACTGATCTCGTTAAGACCACCGGTCAGGCATTCGACAGCTCCAACCCATCCGTCCTTTCCACGCAGTAGAGGACCCCGGCGGTTTCTGGAACCTTAGCAAGTCAAGTCAATATATGCTTTAGCTAAATAAAAGGGTATATCTCAAGCACTTTACAATATCCACTACGGATGTTTATAAAAATCATTAAAATGCAAAATAGTGCAAATGAAAAGATGGCATTATAAATGAAGTATCATTCAAATAAACGATCGAGACTCTGCATCCAGTTGACGTTACAGTAACGCAGATCAGTTTATCGATCCCAACGATTTTTTCTTAGGTTAGCATTATACCAAATTAAATAAAGCTTTATCCACCCATATTAGGCATTTGCAGCGTTTTCACCCCAACAATGCGGAAGATCAAGTCAAGTGACGTCAAGAATTCGGTTTTATGCACCCAAGGAGGGTGCACTTTTAGCTGTGCATCAATGAGAAATAATACATAACAGCCGTAAATGAAAGGTTGCATTTTCCCTCAAGCAGAAGGACACGAAAGCGGCGTTTTGTTCTTGTTGAGTCGACTAGCAAGCGTGAAAGAAAAGGCCTGATGGGGTTTCGATACCATGAAGTACGAATACTGAATACTGAATACTAAGAAGAGAGAGCGAGAAGATAAAAATCCGTGTCGCTTCATCGTAGGTGGATGGGGCACACGCGCGGAATCACTTCGCTGATTGCTGCGTGGTGTCAGCATATTGCAGCTGCACTACAGCTTATCCTGTGTGTGAGGTAGGTATATTTCTGGTTAGAATAGAGTGGGAAGGATGAGAGGGGTCTTTTAAAAACAGATGAAAAGTTAATGTATGAGTCAAAATGTTTGTTGATAGGAAATGTATGAGCGTTTCTTTCACTAAACCAGAGCAGCGAGAAATATATTTTAGCGAACGGACAAGGAGGACATAATATTTTCGAAACATTCCTGGGAAAATAACCGGGGAACAATATAACCAGTGAGGGAGAATTGTTGCAGTCGCAAACATTAGAATTAAAGCACAAGGAACGGAAAGCATTTTAAGTCTAAAGGCGTGAAAAGTGAGCCATCTAACTTTTTATATGTGTAGACCAAGATAAATTGAGAGATGGGAAAACGCTGCAATATTTTGCGATAGAGGAACGAGGTTTGCTTTGGTCATTCACAATCATGGAATGAGAGATATGTACAAGAGGCTGCAGTCTGGTTGGATATAGAAAACAGAACGTTGCATCACAACAGTTGGAATGCTTGAGAAAGAGAGAGGTCGGGAGTTCGACCGAGTCATTAGTTTATCTAACCCTCGTTGGAGTTTCAAAGGGTACTCGATGATTGGGATTATGCAACGCAGAACGACGTCTCCTGTATGTTTACAGCCTATGGAATTTGATGGAATAGGGAGACTTTCAACATTTGCGGCGAAAAAACGATAGGATGGCTCCTTGCAAGACACCACAATTAGCTGGGAGTACAGAAGACTTACTGTAGCACAGCTGCGTGAAGTAGGTGTAATTTTTGAAATTATCACACATCACACTACACGCCATTTTCGGACAAATTGTTAATCAGTAGTAATCTGTCAAGGCTTCCAAAAGTGTTAGTGTAAGCAAGAAATAAGAGCCGTACGCGCATGTTTCTATTATCCAACGCTAAGGCAATGGAATGCGCCAGATAATAAACGGCATCCAAGGTAGAGCACCCTGGTTTAGCGGCAAATCGTTTGACGTCGTCAGTATGATTGCCTGTGAAAATGCAAGGATCCGTAGTTTATTCAATACTTTTAATAGCCCGGATGTGCATGCTATTGGCCGACAACGCTGATATCCATTTTCAGTCACTGGTGTTAGTTTGGCAGATTTCCAAATGTCGGGGATTGTAGCACTTGTTGAGTATCGATTCATGATCTCTGTCAGAGGTGTTGTTAAAACACCTGCATATTCTTTCAGAGCGATTGCTGATAGAGCATCTGATCCACTAGCCTTGTTTGGCCTTAGGTTTGTAAGCTGCTTGTAATTACTTGTGAAGCAAATAAAGTGGGAACCTCAGTAGTGGTGAAAGAAGGTAGAGGGTGTGGATGAGGATGAGGACCTGAACTCAACGTTGAGTTTATCTGTATCCTCAGTGACGCGTGATCTGAAAGAATTCTTTCCAGAGAGCTGTCCTAAAAGCCCCAGCAGGTCATGGCTGTTACAGGAAGATAGCTTTCACTCAGCGCTCAGGTCAAGAGCAGTAACGCAACAATTAGTGGTCGAACTCGAGTACAGATCAAAATGCGAATCTATTTGGAACCAACGGCAAGTTGGACAATGAACTTGAATCGTTTGATCTGTGTTAATTCATATTAATTAGCATCTCCAACTTTGCTGTATTAGTGGTTTCCTACATCCTATTTATTGCTCCATGCACTCATACAATAGATACCCTCGGTCCGGTTGTTTTTTGGCTTTCTCATTTCGTCGCGGGATTGAACTGGTTGGGGGTGGCACAGCAGATTTCAGGCAGGCTATCCGTACACTCAGCAGGGAGACATCAGGGACAACTGTGATTGCCCAATACGGTCTGAATGGAAAGTGTGTTTAAGCACTTTATTTATGCTTTTATAGCTATGGACAGACGCTTAATACGGGCAGTTAAATTATGGTTATAAGCTTGTTCTCTTTTCCTCCTCAGTTGCCTGAGCAATGGAGATGAAATTCTGTCATTTCGCAAATAAATTGTCTCAATGGGGTAACATAGATCAAAACAGAAGTCTTTGTAGTCTGTATGTTGCTGGCATTGAGCTGATAAATCCTCATTTGTGAAAATTGACAGATCTGTTAAAGACAGTGTCAATTACAGTTTTTAGATGTTATTTCCTAAGCAGTTCCGTCGGAATTATCAAGAGGTGCACTCACTTGTGCAGCAAATAGTTCGAGTTTGTTAGTAAAAACCAAATCTAGATGTGCCTCGAGTCTGGTGGGGAATTTCATCAAATTGGCTAAACCCATGGTGTTAGTGAAAGTTATGTCACTTCTGTCGAAGTCCTCGGTGAGAATACAGATGGAACATCCTACTTTTGGTGGCAACTTCAAGACAAGGTGGTCTGCAAACTTCTGCAGCTCGAACATTACTGTGTCCGGAGCTACGTTCACGTACCCAATTAAGAGATTTAGAAAACCGCTCAGAAACCTTTGTTTACACTCCAATAGCTGACCGCTTAACGAAGTAAATGAGTACTCCGATAGTTTGGAAGCAGATTTATACCAATCATTGGTAATATAAGTGATGACACCCCCTCCACGAGGTTGGAGGTCTCCTGGGTGGTCGGATCTAATGTGGCGGTAACCATCTCGATTAACGACTTCATCAAGAATATCAGAATGCAACATCACTATACCTGTAGTTATAAATTCGCTGCGCTGCAAAGTGTTTGCGTAAGCATCCATTTTCTCGTGAAGTGATCGTACAGTGCTGGACACCATGAAAGGAGCGCGCCTTGTTAACGGAACAACGCTTGGGTCCTACTTGCCAGCCAGCACGATGCTATTTCTTTTTACCTGTGGAATGTTTCTTGATGGATGCGGCAGGGTACCCATTGTTTCTAAACCTTATAAGGATGAATTCCCTTTCGGCTTCAAATGTATCTGGGCTGAAAACGTTTGCAGCATGATGGTACAGACGACGCACTGAGTTTCGCTTATACC